AACCAAAGAGCCCAGAACATAAAATTTCCAACAGGAAAGGCAATGTTTGTACCATCTGGGATATTGACTAACATAGTTTTATGAATTGCTTTTTCTTTTTACATATAAAACATGGGTTGCAATTCAGATGCCTAAAAGGAACATACAGGTAAATGAAACTGACTAAATGAAGAAAGTGGAATTGAGGAGGACTGAAGGGTATCACTCTGTCTATAAGAAGCAACCACTACTCAGATTTGGCAATTTGGTTTCTAGGGAGAATGTGGACTTAACTGTTGCTGGATCTCCCTGTTTTTTAAAAAAGCCTAGAAATATCAGTTTAATGCTAAATTCCCCAACTTTTAAATTACAACAAAATCAACTCATCTTATAGACCAGATACATCTGTGAACCACCAGTTTGAAATCTTCGTTATGAAATGCATAGTGAACCCACCAACTATAGGGCTGACACACTGCTGAGTTCTATGCTTTCTTGGACTTCTTCATTCCTCCCTTACTTCCATCATCAATACAAAAATGTTGAATACTTCATAAGCATTGCAGTCCATGTGATAAGAATTGAGGTCAAGAATGAGGATGCTAGGTTTAGCAGCCAAATTACTCAGCATACCAGCCTGCAGGTACATGATTTGAATTTGTGCCGTAAGAAAATTACAAATTATAATGTTATGGGCCAGCAGGCTGCTTATATACAGTTCAAACTGTGACTGTTAAGTCCCTGAAGACAAAGTTCTACTTTATTATGCTTAAATACAAGATAAGATTTGCCAATGATCTGTTGTCGATTAGCTCCAATCCTACCTTTTTATACACAGCACTAGACTGGAGCTAGGAGTCACATAATTTCCAGACTCCCTTGACAACAGGTTTTCAATTAGGTTTCCACTAATGGAAGGCACTGGCAAGAGACTGGAAGGCGGGAGGTACTGAGAAAAAAACTCACTTAGTCTTTCTAACTTGACTTGGCATCCTTCTAGCATCAGCTCACTATAATGCTTCTGCCTTGCTGTGTCTCATTGAAGGTACCAGCAGCAAACATGGCTGCCCTGCCCCACCTCCCATGGTAGTCTGAGCACTCCTTTGGCTGTCCAAACCCTAACTATTTGTCATCATGTATCAATCAGAGCTCCAAGCATCAGTTCTCCAGGGACTTCTCCAAAATCTTACATTCTCTTTTATTTCTCTCTGTCCCTAAAGATAGCAGTTGCTTTCTTAAGTTATTAATGTCTAGGTTATGTCAACATCCATTTCTTGCTCTTTTAGTTTTCCAATACCTGTATTATCCCATTTCTTCTATTAAATTCCTTCTATTTGAAATAATTAATATGGTTTTCTTGACTCAACTCTAACTGATAGTTATTAGAATAAAAATTATTACTTTGTATGTTAGAATTTCTTTTTGTCTGAAATCATAATGTGAAAAATAGTTTCTTCAAATACCAAGATCCTTGCTATAGGAAGGTAGTTACCAAAAATCCACAAAAGGCATTTCTGTAAAATAGTTACAATCGTTCTGTCACTTATATCTAAAGCCCTCATGACTCATAAAAAGCCTAGACCTAAAGTGTCAGTCATAATTGGCATTTATAGACCTAAATCTATCTTTATTCTTCTTGAATCTATTTCTATTTTCTATACAGACCAACTGAAGCCAACACTTCAGAACTAACATTCCAAGGAATGTTCTGCCTATTATGCCAGTAGAGTTGGGTCAGATTTAAAATAAGCTAATGAGCATATTAAAAGTTTTAAAATACTTATTGAAAATTAAATATTATGTATTGAAGTATTTTAAATCAATTTTAAATTAAGTATTTTTAATTTAAAATTTAGTAAGTATTTATAAACCAGCTCTGTTTGGGGAAGGGGACAGTAATTACTCATACTAAATTAGCAGCCTTCATTTTATGAAAGTATTCACCCAAGGATATCATGGAAAGTTTAGACATACAGACACATGTTTCTAAAAAATGGGATTACATTTTGTTTTCTCTAGAAACATCTACACCAAACTCATAATTATGGTTGCTTCTTCAGTATACGAATTGTTTTATTATTGTCTTTTCCTTTCGTGACAAGTACATATTACTTTTGTTGTAATGAATAACATATTTTAAATTTTTTCCAGTGCAAATTTAAAATATTTGGATTTAAAAACTAGGATTTATATTTCATTTTTAAGGAAAATGCCTAATCATGTCTTTTCAACAACTATCTCCTGAACACCTACAGGGTACCTAGCATTATGTTAAGAAAACCCAAAGTCAGGGCCGGCCGAGTGGCTCAGTTGGTTAAGAGCACAAGCTCTGAGCAACAGGGTCACCAGTTCGATTCCCACATGGGCCAGTGAACTGCGCCACAGCTGAACTGCAGCTGAGCTGCCAACAGGTGGCAGGATGGCTAGTATGGTGATAGCACGTGCTCCTAACAACAAGGTTGCTGGTTCAACTCCCTCATGGGATGATAGGCTATGCCCACCCACAACTAAGATTGAACATGGCACCTTGAGCTGAGCTGCTCTGAGCTGCCGAAGCATGGCCAGATGGCAACTGGACTTGGAGCTGAGCTAGCTGCGCCCTCCACAACTAAGACTGAAGGACAACAACTTGGCTGTTCCCCTTCACCAATTCCCCAACACTGTTCCCCTTCCCCAATTCCCCAATAAAAAATCTTTAAAAAGAAAGAAAGAAAGAAAGAGGACCAGCCGAGTGGTGCATTGGTTAAGAGCTGGCTTGGGATGCCAGCTCTGAGCAGCAGAGCCCTGGTTCGGATCCCACATGAGGGCCAGTGACGCTGCGCCCTCTACAGCTAAGATGGTGAACAACAGTTCGACCCGGAGCAGGGCTGCCGTCAGTCGCTGGCACCGGCGTAGGCTGCAGCCCTTGATGCAGTGGTTTGCCATAAGCTACCGTGTGTGGCCGGCAGCCAGAGTGAGCGGCCAGAAGCTGGTATGAGCTGCAAATAGCCACCGTGAGCAGCCAACCAGAGGCCGGCAACTGATCTGCCTCACCCAGGAATAGCGCAATGATAATACCAACATGGGGCAGTGAAGCAACGTCCTCCACAACTAGACTGAAGAACCAAAGGACAGCAACTTGTCTCTTCCCCTTCCCCTGATTCCCCAGCGCTGTTCCCCTCCCCCAATTCCCCAATAAAATCTTTTTTTTAATTTTTTTTAATTAAAAAAAAAAAAGAAAGAAAGGAAGGAAGGAAGAAAAGGAAAAAACAAAAAAGAAATCCAAAGTCAAATTCCTACCTCAGGGAACCTCAATCATATTGGCAATGTTCAGAGACATCTTTGCAATAAGTAGCTAACACATGATAGACTCTTAATAAACATTTGTGTAATAACTACATGAATGTACCACCAAAAGTGGTTATTTATTCAGTCTTATTTCATAGACTATTAGTCCTTTTCTGTATATTTATTGCACTTACATCGTATTTCACCACTTCTAAGACACACATCACTCATTTTTCAACAACTCTGAAATTTGAATCAGACTTACTATCAATGTGATTTTTTAAAGTATTGTTTCATAGACAATTTGCAACATTTTCTTTTATAGTGGTAAATAAAATAACAGTATGTTTTGCATTGATGACATTTTAGATTGAATGAAGTACAATATATATTACATTTTATATATTTTAGAAAATACACATGAATATGTAGACATGTTTCCCAGAGATTCAACTGAAAAAAGTTTTCATAGGGCCACTCCATTCAATGATCCTTCAAGCCTCCAGTGATCATATGAATTTCACAATTACTAATTTATAAATGTTAAAACCAACAACTGACAAATAACAACTTTATAAAATGTTGTGCATTTATGAGAACTTACTTCTCAAATTTTTAAAATTGCTATCGAATGTTAAACATGTATCTTCTATTTTGAGCTGAATGCAAGACATAATGTACATAAAACTTATGGCATTTCTAAGCATTATGTACTTAAAAGATTTTCATATTTTAGAGTTTGAAATTAATTGTTTAAAATATCTGAGAAATATTAAAATTAATAAACTGTAAAAACTCTGAGAAGTTATAGAAGAAATGCTGATAAAACCTTCTAGGAGAGATTAAATTAACTATGAAATAAAAATGAAATGTATGACAACGACAGGAAAAGAACACTGAAAAAAACAAAAATTAATAATGAAAAAATAACAAAACTCACCAGCCTAATAAAATGTGACTCATCAGTAAGGTATAACCTATATTAACTGCATAATAAAGGAATCATTGTGAGTACTACAATGTAAAACAGTGGGTATACAACTTAAGGACATCAAATAAATACAGAAATGTATTTTATTAATAATTATTGACACACAGTCTATGAATGTTGTACCAGGTACATCAGGTTTCATCATATTGTCCTCTCAGAATTTCTTAGCCTTTCTCTTTCTTTCATGTTTTCTCACAGAGAAGTTTTAGCTGATATGGAAATTTGGAGAAGAGGGCAGGAAAAGATAGGGAAAGCCATCCTTTCAACCCATTGGTGACCGTTGCCTTTCCCTCACCCTCTCATCCTATGATTGCGAGGGCTTCCAGGGTAATTTCACTGAGGACTTTTGAGAGCTGCAGTTACCTACTCTTTCCTCACTATCCCACTCTTCCTTCTTTTCTGGAATTAGGAATATAGAGTCTGGAAGTACGCGATACATGTACCCTACACCCTTCCATCTGGGCACTCCCTCACACCCTGTTCCTGCCAATTCAAACCCCAACTCACCTGCCCACTGAGCATAACAGAGTTGCACAACTCCAGGAAAGAGGGTAATATAGCTAGCTCATTTTTAATTGGATACTTTAGTGAATGGTTTTAAAACTTGATGGGTTTTTGTCACTATAAAATAAAAAGGGAAATTCACTCAAGACTGTAGCAAACCCTAAATATCGGGAAAAAAATCTTGACTTTCACCATCAATGTTATATCAATATCTAAAAGACAGGAAGAGGTGATAACTAAGAAAAATACAGTGCTTTGGTGGCTATGAGCTTAGAAAAATATTATCAATTTCTATTTACACTGTTATTCACCAAAATAATTTTCCACTGACTTTCAGGTTTTGATTTTTTTGTGTGTTACAATTTTATGCATATTTTTGTTAGAGTGAAAAAGGTAAGATAAAAGCCAGATCAAACTCATTTAGGTGAGATTAAGATTAAAATGTATGTAAGTGATAAAAGAATCTTTAAGCAGATACTGGTTGATTGTGTGGTAATATGGGTTGCTTTTTCATACAAAATATTTTCAAGAAAGCCTTCTGAAAACGCTTGTGACACAATGGATACAAAAAAGGATTGACAAAGGAATTACACCACTGAAGCACAAATGTGATCTCGTACAACACTTTTTGAGGACGTCGATTTTGGTCATAAAATGAAAGAACAAACGTGAACAGAGAATAAGGACCCCAGCAAATGGTAAAAACACCTAAGAGAATGGCCAGTGACTTGGCTAATTTCCTGGCTTTAAGCAGTTCAAGATGTTCCCTTTGGTGAAGAGCTAGGCTTTCTGCGTGGGAGAGAGAACCCATTTTGGAAGCAATTATGTCACTATTCTTCTGGGTTCTTATAGAAAACAAGAGACTACTCTTTCTCTCTCGTCTCTTGAAATGAAGGGACACTGCTGCTTCCTTTGGTTCGGCAAGAGATGCCCTTGAAAACAGTCCATACTTGAATGTGCGTTCAGAGTTACTGGAACAGGTAGAAGAAGTGAGTCCAGGATGGCTTTGCCACCTACTGAGATGACCACGCTTCCAGAGTCTCCAGTAAATATAAATGTTGAAATAAGCCACTAAGAAAACTGGGGCCAGGAATTCGAAGAATGATGTAATGGCAAGGATATACCATTTTGAAATGAATCCAGCTTCACAGTGCTCCCTGTCTCTCTTCCATGAGTCTGAAACTATAATTATTGGCCCATGCACTAAGAAGGCGAGCACCCAGATGGCTACCATCAGAGCCACAATCTTGCGGATCCCAGTGTGTTGAGCTCTGTAAGATACCTAAAAGAAGCCAAATATATTATTTTCAATGTTATGAACATATGCTGAGTGCATAAAGCATACCATAGGCTCTCAGGAGTTTCAGGGATATTCAAAAAGTCAAGACATTAACTCGACCTGGGTAACATGATGTGGACCAGGATAGAGGGTTCGATTTCAGTACAGCCTGGACCAAGATGCAGACTTCCTTAGTGATTTTCAAGGAGAAGGTTTTAACTTTCAAGGTTAAACCTCTTAAAACTACAGAACATGTCAAAATCTGAATTGTTAAACAACTGAAACTGGGTGTGCCTTCTCACAGTGTTTCCCAATCTGCCAGCTGGGTCATGACCAGCATATTTTTTAATGAAATAAAGTAGTCAACATCAGAATGCATCACACATCATCAGGTATATATTGTTTGATGAAACTTTTGCTTTGGGAATATAGGTATATGTATAGATAGAGAAATGCATGTACTGAATCACAGTGTAAAATGTAATTCACTTCTCATGGTAGTCACAGTCAAAAAAGTTTGAAAGCAACAGGATTTCCTGATTCTAATATAGGAAGAATCTACTCTGCAGTTTATGCTGATTCCTTAAGGTGGGATCCAAAAGAGAAAGAAAAACTCTTACATCACTTCCAATAAAATGACGCATAAAAAGAAAGAAGTTTAAACCTGCTGTAGAAAGATACTACAGTGTTACTGAGCATTATCAAATCAATTCTTTCTATAATGTTTCCACCTGACAAAAATGGTGCCAAAGCTATGATGGGTAGCCATTTTGAGAGACATGGCTGTGGCAAGTGCCACAATCTTTTTTAAAGGTGAAGAATGTTCTAGATCCACTTGGTCAAAAGGGCAGGCTTCTAAAAGGAGCGATGAGGTTCTATCAGTGAGGATTGCTCTCAGGTCACAAGACCCATGATCTTTGATACATCCTGAAATTTTCAAGAATATTTTCTATAAGAAATGTAAAGACACCCAAGACCAACCACTCTATCTGAAGGATAAACATATGAATCAAGAATTTTCTGAGGGGGCCTGTAACAGACAACCTCTTTGAACTTCTTTTAGATAAGCAAGGTTCCTTCCAGCTCAAATGTTCCACGTTTCTCTGATTTCCTCACTTGAGGGAAAAGAAATTATCTACTCATGAAATTGCACCATGCCTCCCTTTCACCATCTCTCTTGTACTGTTTTCTCTGTGAGTTTTTAAGTCTCGTTCTGCACTGTTTTCTTATTTTTATTGCAAGGGTGCAACATTGCCCAGCACTGTCTCTCTTTGATGGATTATACATGCTGGGAAGGGCTCACCAATTGGCTAGAAGTAAGAGGAAACTAGTTGGTCTTTTTTTTTTTTTAACTGAGTTATTTTTAAAAACTGCAGGGAAGTGTTTTTTGTTGGTTTTTTTTTTCCAAATTACTGGTATTTCTGAGGCTAAGCTAAAATGCATATGGTGCTGACCAGAAACTCCTATGTATGATAGGCTTTTTTGCCTTCTGCTTCTCATGCCACTAATTAATACATCTTTTGCACTAAATCTAATGATTATGAAGATGGTAACAATACCCAGATGGTCATAAAACTGCATTTAGTTTTTTAATTGCTCTGTTCAGCCTTTATAATGATATGATGCAATATGCTGGAAGGTGATCTCTTTTCTATTATGCATGAGGTCAAAGGGGATCATGGACATCCAAGGGAATTGAGAAGGTAATGCCAATCTCTTCATCCCAGCAGAGCATTTTTGACAGACAGCTCAAGCATTGTTTGAACCCAGGCTCAGGACAGTTGGGAGTGTCCTCCCTGAAATCAGTCTCTGGCCCAGTTCTCACCCGCTGCAGATGAGGTCCATTATTCAGGACATTGCCTTTTCCACCGCAACAATATTTCTCATGGTCTTGATTTTACCACCAAGCTTTTTTCATCTGCAGGTAAGGAAATACTCTCCTCTTACTCTCTTAACCCTGCATACATTTCAATTTTCATTTCTTCCAGCTACACTGTTCTACTTTCCCCCACCCACTCTTGCTTCAGCGCCGGGATCTCCCCGTCCAGAAAACTTGTCTGAGCACTATAATCTTGTGCTACCATCTGCATTGAGCCTTCCTTTTCCAAATTATTGTCAGATTTCCATTTCTGAGGCTTAGCATACCACCCTGCCTTATTATACTGTCACCTCTACTTTTAGCTACAGCAAGAGCTCACCTTCCCCATGACTGCTTCCTACAAGTTCCAGTGGGCTTTGAAGGATTCTTTCAGGTTTCACACAGCTGTGTTGAAACCCTTAGCCAACAGAGGTGCAAATGCTGCTTGAGCAGCCCATACAAGCATTCATGCACTGGTGTGTGGAGCTCTTGTTAGACACTTAACTCTGGGCTGTGTATTAGGAAGCTGGGATCCAGCTGACCTGGCCCTCACCAAGTTTATAGCCTGCAGTGCCAGAAAAATTCCTCAGAGTAAGACCAGGAAACAAACACACCCATTTGCTCTCTGCATATCACTCCTCATCTCTGTAATTTCTAATCACTATTTTCTAACTGGGTAAGCTGTCTATCACCTTTCCACAAACCTAAGGTAGACCCAAGAGTTTGGACATTCTGTGAAGCAAGTCCCAGTGAAGATTAAAAAGAAATATTCAATCAGAAAGAAAGAAAATGAGAAACAGCTTTTTGAAACTGTTTTTCAAACATTTTGACTGTCACCTAAAGTAAGAAATACATTTTATATCTTAACCAAGTATACAGAAAAAAGTATTCATAAAGCAATACTTACCTTTATTATGTGCAAGGTACTCTGATATTTTATACTCTAATTTTTTTATTCTATTCTATTCAGCTCCTTTTTGTATTTTTTTCATTAAAAAATAAGTGACTGGTCAAAACCCACTGAACTGATTTCATGATTCAATAATGGATCTTGAGACCTGCCATTTGAAAAACATGAGATTATACATATCTGAATTGCTCATCCAAACTTCTCTGCACTCTCTCCACAGTTTGTCTAGTACAAATTGAACTCTGGTGCCAAAGAAGTACCCAAAGCCATCCTCCCCTTCTTTCTAGCCATATGGTGGCTCAGCTAGAGACCACATTTCCCAGCTTTCCTTGTAGTGAGATGGGACCATGTGACTAAGTTCCACCAATAAAATGTGAGTGGAAATGCCTGTTGATTGTGTACTACCTGGTTAAAAGAAAATCCTTCGCCCTAGACTTCTGCCCTTTGCCCTTCCTTTCTAGAACCTGGAGTCACAACAACCTGACTTTGACCATGCAGAGGAGGACTATGACCTAGAGAAAGGGTGAGCAAACTACTGTCCATGGAAAATGTGACCACCACCTGTTTACATCAATAAAGTTTCATTGTGAAGTCCCCCCATTTTTTTTTTTTACATGTTACCTAGGGCTGTTTTTGTGCTATAACAGCAGATTTGAGCAGTCGCAGCAGAGACCACAGGTCCCTTTATAGTAAAAATTTGCTGACCCCTGCCCTAGAGGATGCAGATCTGCCCTGCTAGCCTGGATCCCTGGGTTAGTCCCTGGAGCACACCCTTCAATGGTTCCTGGATTATTCTGTGAGAGAAAATATAGTTCTATCTTATTTGAACCTTTGTTACAGCACTTTATCCTTGTCTCATCCAATATACCCTCTCAATCCTGTCTGCCTCCAAACTGCACAGCTCTCCCAAGCCAGGGTTGTCACTGTTCTCTAAATGCCTCCAGCACCACACTTAGCCCATTCAACTGAATCCATTTGTTTACAAATCTGTCCCCACATTAGACTTTATGTGTCTCAAAAATAGAGATTCTGCTGATTCATTTCTTTACTCCAGCACTTAGCAAAGTCCCTGTCACACAGTAGTCTCCCAAAGATTTGGGTCCCTGGGACTCAGGAGTAAAGGAAGTTTCTCATCGAGGCCTCACTGCCCCATATTTCTATGGTCCCTTAATTGCATCAAGGACAAGTTTTCTCCTTTCTTCTATTGCTGATAAACTTAGCTTGCTTAAGACTTGTCACTAACTCATTGATGAGGCTATTCTAATTCTTAGGTAAGTTCAGGCTTTCTTGACATGTGTCCTAAACTGGCATTGGGACTTGACCTTTCTTGCTAGTTCTATTTTATAACCTATAGCTTATTTGTATACTGTCTTTTCCTTTGGCCATTCAAAATTTATTTTCTCATGACATTCATAAGTCTGGGAGTCTTTCTCCTTGCCCATCAAGTTTCATCCTCAGGAAAATATTCAAGTCTCAATTTGTCTAAGGAGTCAAACTGATAAACCGATGGTGAGCCTCATATATATCCAATCTACTATGGATTCAACTTCTGACAACTTGCTTTGAATTTTCTCTGATGACTTCACATTTTAGTAGCACAAAGGGGACTGACTTATCCAGATCACATGCAGAAAATGTTCACTAAGAGCCAATAAGAACTTAGTGCTAGATAACAAAAGGATAATCAGGCTCCTCTATGAGTTTGTCAATTAAACAAAAAAATTAGACTTAACAAATTTTGCTTGGGGACCCAAAATTTATAAGTATATACTCTTTTAAAGAAGATAAATCAATGGTTTAACTTACAGCATTTGAGACTGACTGGTATCGATCATAGGTGATAAGTACAATGTTATACACAGATGCTGTACACAAAAGATAGTCAATAGTGAGCCATAATACACAGATTTTATCAAATTTCCAATCAAACAGCCTGTAAGGGATGTACAAAGGAATGGAGATCACACCTGCACAGGGGAAAAATAAGGGTAAAAGAATAGCACATATCAATGAAAACAAAGAGGCATAGTACACAATACAATGATGTATCTGAATTGACCAAAAATGTCTTGATTATAATCAAGAATTTAGAAATTCATGGTATTCATCAACAAACTAAGGACTGATTTCCTGTACATTTTTTAAATACCGTTTTTGTAATAGCTGTCAAAAACACAATACCTTCAATGGCTCCTTATTACTTTCCAAATTAAGTTCAGGTCCCAACCTATATTTCCAGCCACATACAGCACAAATCATCTTCATGTTCATGATCCAGTCCAAACAGGACAAGACACTCTTCCCTCAAACACATCCCACATCTTCACATCTCTCTGCCTTTGCCAACATCATTCTTTCGTCCTAGAATGTCCTCCTCTCTTCTACTGAGAAATCTATTTACTTCCTTCTCATTCTTCACTTCAAAAATGACTTCTTTCTTCTCATCTTTCTTAGAACTTCTTTGGCAGAAGTGACTCCTCTATCACTTGCACTCTCCTGACACTTTAATTATCTCTCCTACTTTTATGTACAAAAACATTCTACTTTATATTGTCATCATTTTTTAACTTGTTTCTCCAGAGGTTTGGGACCATGTTGTAAGTCAGTCTTTGTATTTTTCACATCTAGAGTTGACCAAAATGGCTTGCACGTTTAACTTAAATAAATGAATAACTGTTAACATATATTGCACAATTAACCATATGCCAGATATTGTGCTATGTGTGTTACATATATCATCTCATTTAACTTTCATAGAAACTTTGTGAGGTAGAGACCCTGCTGAATTCAATAAAGAACCTGTAGCTCAAAAAAGAAGACATAATTAACTCAAGGTCCACTCAACAAGTAAGTGAAAGATTGAATTTGAAACCAAGCAATGTGATTTCAGAACCTTGATTTTACCACTACCTTTCCCTGAATAAACAAATACATAAGTGATACCACTAAGCACTGAACCTGCTTAACTGTGAAAAAATGACTAAACTGAGCTCCCTTTCCTTTAGCTTTGTTAGGCAATCTTAATTGCATTGACCTTTCATACAGGTGGCACTAGTCAATGAAACCATAATCTATTAAATGGAAGCGCAATTGAACTCTTATTTTGTTGAGTATCTTTATATTTTATCAGGGACTTGCAGAATTTCCCATATTTTATATCAGAACTAAATAAGCCTATTATAAAGAACAATAGTAAAGCTAAAAGAAAGAAAAAGGAAAGGGAAGGATGAAGGAAGCACTGTATTTCTCCCAAAACAAGAAACCATGAGAATATAATGGTATGGTTTCAGAATTAGTGAAAGAAAATGCAGAACTTGGTATTCTGTAAACCTAGGTTTACACCCAAATATGAGAGATAAGACACCATAGAAATGAAGAGCTGTGTGGTCAGTTCTTATATGTAGTTCAAATTGCCTGCTTGTTTTATGTTTCAATTATATTTTTAATGATAACTAAGCTTCTTTATGGTGCTTTCCATCTGTGTGTGTGTGTGTGTGTGTGTGTGTGTGTGTGTGTGTGTGTGTGCGCGCGCGCACATGCACATGCACGTATCTAAGATATAAAATAAGTCAACAGGTTCACCAGGCATAAATCAAAATATCTTCAAAATAGAGGCATTCATTATATTTTGACCCAGAGTTGTAACATCCAACGTCCCCCAACTTAGTATTTTTTATACACACACTCATTTCCTCCACAGATTGAGAAAGAATAATGCAAACGTCAGTAATCATTTGCATCACAGGCACTCCTATCTGTTTAAAGGTTAAAGGAAGAATTTGAATTAAATAAGCTTTTCACACTCTTTCTGAATAGATGAAAGAGGAAGGGTGTGTCCAAAACCTTAGGAGCTCCTTGAAATAGCAGTTAGCTTAAAACAGGCTCAATTTATTCTTTTTGTTTTAATGAAAGCCTGCTGTCACCTTGTGTTCTACATGTTTTAGTACAAATGCCATGTTCAGTTCCTGTTGAATGGTGATGTTTGTGGCTCATTCCAAAGGAGTTTCAAAAACTGTGAATCAAAAATATTTCTATGATATACCAGCCTAAAGAGTTCTACAACTTTCACTCTGAAATCATGCTTCTGGGTCAAATGGACTTGATAAGTAAAACTAAGAGCTAGTTCCTTAAAAAGAGCAATAAGCCTTTGGCATGAGAAATTAAGGGGAGGGGGAAGTGAGAAAAAACAAACTATATTTTAAAATGGTGGTGAAGGGGGTGGGGGAAAGGAGGTGAAGGAACAGGGGGAGGAGAGAAAGAAGGGGAAGGAAGATGAGAAGAAAAGCCCTATAAGACCCTAGATGGCTTCTCCACCCTAGCTGCCCCCCATCTCTCCAGTCTTACCTCCTGCTACTCCTTCCACCCCTCACTCTCTCCACTTCAGCCCTCTGGCCTCAAATACAACACACACCCACTGCCTCAGATCCTGGCACTTTCCTGGGTGTGATATGCTCTCCTGCCAGAGCGCTCCTTCTGTTTGTTCAAATCTCTCAATCAGTGAATTCTATCTACCCCTGAAGTTTAAATTGCAACCTACACATCAAACACACATTCCTCAACATTGCTGTTTTTCTCAACAGCAGTGATCACCCTCTAAAATGTTATGTAATTTTATTTACTGATTTATATCATTCATTGTCCATTTCCCCACCTCCACCCTCAGCAGAAACAGAAGCAACATGAGGGAAGGAATTTTTGTCTGTATTTTCACTGCTATATCCCAAGTACCTTAAAGAGTCCCTGAGGATGAGGACAGGGAAGCCCAGTTTGCTTGAAATTGCCACCAGTATGGTATTGTCTCTTCTTTCTGAAGACAGCTAAGACACTACATCATTCATAAGAAAATGATCATCTGAAGGTGGGGGAAACTAAAAGCCCCCAGTGAATTCTTTGGGCCAACAGAAGACTGTGTGGATAACAGCGAGTGCATAGAGGATGTTATGGACTGAACATTTGTGTCCCCCCAAAATTCATACATTGAAGCCTTAATCACCAATGTGGCTATATTTGGAGACAGGGCCTATACGAAGGTAATTAAACTTAAATGAGTTCATAAGGGTGAAGCCCTAACCCAACAGGATTAATGTCCTTATAAGAGGAAACACCAGAGAGCTTGTCTGCTTGCCTTCATTCCATGTACACTCAGAAGAAAGTCTAGGTAAGGATGCATCAACAAGGCAGCCATCTACAAATGAGGAGAGCTCTCTCAGGCATAAAATCAGCTGGCACTTTGATCTGGAACTTCCTAGCCTCAGAACTATGAGAAAGTAAATTGCTATTGTGTAACTCCTAACTATGGTTGTTTTGTTGTGGCAGCCCAAGCTGACTAACTCGGAGTGAAAGAGAAGAGTCCTGAACAGAGGCATGAAGGTGCTAAAGATAAACTTTGCCATCCTGAAAATGTGATTCAGACTCAGGGCAACAACATTTGCCCTTGAAGATCTTGTCTGGGCCATCTACCCATAGTCATATAGACCATAAACACCATACAATTGTCAATGTGAAAAAGTTCCCCATAGATGGAAACATCAATCATGAGATACCAGTCTTATAGATATTTATATAGACATAGATAGCATGTTTTTCCCCCCTAGAATAGTGTATAGATAAGATGTATTTGTATCAATGTAGCTGGTACTGACATTTTTCCTCAATAAATCTTTGCTATTTCCAATAAAGATGGCAGAGTAAGTAAACACTGTGCTAGCCTCCTCTCACAACCACATCAAAATTACATTTAAACTACAGAACAACTATCACTGAGAATTGCCTGAAATCTAGCTGAACAGAAGTTCTACCTCTAAGGACATACAGAATAAGCCACCATGAGACTGATAGGAGGGGCAGGGACGCAAAATGGGCTGGTCCCACATCCATGTGTGACTGGTAAAAATCGGGAGGGACAGCTCGGCTGCAGAGCTCCCCCCAGAGGAATGAGGAGTTTCAGCCCCACACCAGGCTCCCCACCCTAGAGTTCTAGTGCCAAGGAAAGATGTCCCCATAACTTCTGGCTGTGAAAACCAGGGGCGATTGTGGCTGAGTGACACGAGAGTGGCTGGAGTAACAGACACTCCTCCTAAAGGGCCTGCACATGGATAGACTCACTGACAGACTCACTCACTCAGAGCTCCAGGGTTGGGGCAGTAGCTGGAAAGGTGCCAGGGACATACAGGGTGGAGCTGAGTTGCCTGGCTTCAGGACAAGGGCTGGAGGGGCAGCTTTCTGCCAGACAGAAGTGCTGATAAAACCCGTTGTTTCTTTGTTGAGCCCTCCCAGTGTCTAGATAGCGGCAGCCAACATATCTGAGCCTCCAACCACCTGGCTAACACCATTTATCTGCCCCGCCCTGGTGGCTCCTGAGACCTCACCCCACCCAATTCTCAGGCACATTCAAGCCACTTCCAGTGGCTTTCCATACAAACAGCCTGCCTTGGCTCATGTTGCAGACTTTCTTAAAATTTCTCAAAGGTTCGCAAAACCCAAGCAAGCAGCATCTGGCTTCAGCATGTCCCATACCTTTGACTGAGCAGCCCTAAACCTGGCACAAACAGGAGCCAGCCTCAGTTTGCAGTTTGGCCTCCCAAGGCATCTCCAAGCCCTGCATGGGTGGTGGCCGACTGCAGGTTGCTTTGTGGCTCCTGCCAGGTGGCCCCAGGCAGGGCACAGGCTGAGGCTGAACTTGACCTGCTGCAGGGGCCCTCCCAGGAGGCCTCAGGGCTGGCATGCCTGGTGTCCAGCTTTGGACTGAGCCAAAACATCACTCAGCCACCTCCAAGGATGACACATGCATAGGGAAGACTGGGCAGGAACCAGAGCCCTGCTAAAGTGAATCCCACTCCATATGGTCAGCCCCTGCATAATACTGTAGTCATGGCCAGTCCTCACAACCAATCAGCCTGAGAGTCAATCCCTCCCATTGAGTGCAAATAGCAACCAAGTCTCAATTACTACAGGAGGGAACACACAA